TTTTGAACATTCTGTACTATGGGTTTCAAACATGTCTAGGATTGTATTAGTTTCCGTGTGTGTGTGTGTGTGTGTGTGTGTGTGTGTGTGTGAGTTTCTTCAGCTTACTCTGATTCATTTCCGCTTCCGTCCGCTGTGGTTGACGCCAGTCCTTTCAGCTGTGCTGAGCTTGGTCTTGTCTTCCGTGTTGCCTGTGCTGGCGGCTGCCCCACTGCGCCTGTGTACTGAGCTTACGACTTTCAGCACGAAGCGGGAAAAGGTCAGAACACGAGCTGGCACTATCACAGTGGCCAGCAGACTTATTAGGTAGTGGTCAGGTAGGGTGTAGGAGAGGCGGCTTTCCCCTCAGGGGATCTTCCAGACACAGAAATCATTTAGACGGGAAACGGCTTCTGTGATTAGCTGCTATCATGGGGTAGTGAGGCAGGGAGTCTTTGGATCAGAAAGCCCCGAAAGGAGCAGCGCTGTGCTAGTCAGCCCTCTCACTTCCATGCCAAAACGCCCGCCACGAGCTTAAAAGGAGAAATAGTTTATGTTTGCCCTTGGTTTTAGAGGGTTTCGTCTGTCATGGTGGGAGAACATGATGGTGCAGAGCAGTTCACATCTTGGCAGCCAGGAAGCAGGAAAGGAAGAGACCAAGCAAGATGCAGCCCTTAAAACACCTTCCCTATGACCTACTATTGCTTTCTCCAACGGGGTTTTGCCTCCTACCTCTCACTGCTTCCTGATAATGCTGTCATGTTATGTGCCTGTCATGGGTTAGATCAGAGCCCACACGATGTCACAGTCTCCATGATGCCCAGAGGTGTGCTTTCCTAATGCACTCAGCGTTTCCTATCCTCCACTCACGTTAACAGCTGCAACCAAGCACCACGTGCAGTCTTGGTAGACGGTGTTCCAGTGTGACTCAGACACTGCTCTCCCTGTAGCATCTTTATGATGACCCTAAACTCAACCTGAGCCAAATACTCTGCTCTGGCTGACTACCCACTCCTGAGGGCCACGCACAGGTCCCTCGGACGCCATTTTGATTATGTGTGCCTCTCATCTTTATTGTGTTCTCAGTCCTTCTGGAAGGCTGTTCCTGTATGACCAGAATCTGGAGTAATCCCTCTAGAATAAAGTTGGAGTAGGGCAGAATTGCTGCTTCTACACCTAGATCAGCACCTGCTTGTGGACACACACTTGGTGGGATATTTATTGATGAGTACACCACTGCCAAATAACTGGTGGTCAGTGTTTGCGGAGTTAAAAAATTAGTATATACGCAATGTGTTCATAAACACATAACGTGAGTACTGTGTTTCACAGGCAGAAGTCACACTGCTCAGTCCTCAGACTCAGAAACTATATAAGGAAAGATGGGGCAAAGGGTAGCTGGGGGGGGGGCTTATGCCTGGATTTGAGCTTTAGTGTTAGTAGCCCCTTCCCCCCAAGAACATTAAGAGCCTCAGGCCTATTGTTTTGATGAAAAAACAGGGAATGGGGATGGAGAGTATTTTTGGGTAACTGAGCTCTTTGTGCTATGAACTTCAGTCTACAGAACTGTGTTCATAAGCAGTGCTTTATCCTTTGTGGAACTGGAAAATGCTACTCAAAGAACTCTTTAGTTTGTTTTTACAGATCAAATTCTATCTTGAGCTATTTACTAAAGAAACGAGGAATGAGCTGCCTAGGGATATATAATTTTAATATTCTTTAGCTTTTCTGTCTAGGGCAATCCTCTATTTTAAATGTTTGAGCTTCTCCATGAGTCATGAATCATTTTGAGGAACTCAGAAGTCCAAAGCTCTCCCTGTTTCCACTCAGGGATGCACATTCCGGTTTCCATCTGCCTACAAGAGAAACGTGGTAGTTAAAGAAATAATTAAGGCTTCAGACACAAACATTGCAAGGGCAGATAAGCTGTGTTTATTAGAACAAAATAAAACAATGAAATCCAGCACTAACTAGCTGCTCTCCTCCAAGCACACCTTATCCCTTGTGCCTACATCAAAGGTGGGGGTGAGATGATGAGGAGTGGGCAGAGCTGGGAAGTCCACAGAAAGATACGTGACAAGAAGCAGAGAGTGGATGAGCTACTAACAGAAGGAGGCCCTGTTGGGCATTAGCATGCTTTCCAGAACCCCATCCCGTTATACGAGTATGTAACTTTTGGCTTGTTTAGAGAGAGAGTGTTCAAATAGATTTCTTTCTTCCATGTTTGTTTCCTTGTTGGTTTTGACATGCTCTAGTGTAGCCCAGGCTGACTTTGAACTCCTGATCTTCCAGCTGACATTATATCCTTTGCCGTTGCACCTTTGTTTCTATCAAGCTGATTCTTTACATCACCTCTGCTGAACTGTGTCTATTCCTGTCGATGTACTTAAAAAAACAAACAAAAAACAAAAAACTCTTTTTTTCAATCCCTTCCAACACCCCAACACCAGATGGGAGAAAGGGTTAGTGAGAAAGAGGTGGTGCAGTTCTTTCTTAGCTGCTTCCTGCTGGTTAGGGTGGCTGGGTTTCTTAGAGCCAGTTTAATCTTCATTTCAGGAGATCTCCATCTTCTTGTTTCACAACTGCAACCAGGAGCAGCAAGGAGGAAGCAGTAGCAGCCTTGTTCTTTCTCCCATCTCCTTTCTGGGCTTTGGCATTTATTCCTTCTCAGAGTCCTCAGATTTTAACTATCTGCATCTGGCAAAGAGCTCCTCTCAGAGCCTGAATGAGGCAAACAGTCTCCTGTTGTGAACCATCTGAATCAGTCCCACATCCCATACCTGGGACCAAAACAAAAACATGTTTATATCCACAACATATCCCCATTTTGATTCCTGATTTTTGATAAAGTGACTCTTTCATTTACTGTTGCCTCCTTTGTCTTTTCCTTATTTTTGTCCTTTTTCTGAGCCCCAGGTCTCCTGGTGCAACCGTCTGACCCTGAGTTCTGTAGAGGGCACGAGGTCCTCATGCACACAAACAGCCCTAGGGAAACCAGACTGTTAAAACACGCAGGCTTTTCTCCTTAGTGGGAGTGATTTATGCCAGTTTCTGCCTGTAAAGCTGAAAATGGACGTAGTTAATAATTTGGTGATCGTCACTATCTGTGGACCAGGCCTCATATAAATCCCCCAGACATTGTTTGTCCCAGACCCTTCCCAGACTCCTGAGCACGGTTTCTCCATCAGTACAACCCAGTCTGTGGACGAGGTCGCAGGTGCCTTACAAAGGAGCTCCAATATAGTCGTGCCTCAGACTTTATGTGATAATTGTCTGGCAGAAACTATTCTAAGGTTGTACGGTGTTTAGTGTGTCAAAAATAAATGGCTCGGTGAGACTGTAGAAGCTTGAGTCAACACTGTCATGTTGAACCGGATTTCCTTCTTGTTACTTTGCCACCAGTAGTGTCTGCAGGGACCCCACACAAAATTGTGTCCCCCATTTATTGCTGGTCGTCCTTTGCAGATATGGGGTTTGCCTTGACTTTGAGGATCTGATGAGAAGCAGAATCAAGTGGTAGTGCAGAGGAAAATGAAAGGGGCCAGCCACACTACAGCTGTGGAGGGAGCGGAGCCTGAGGCACTGTGGATAGAAGGCAAAGTAAGAGGCTCTTCAGCTTCGTTGCATGGCGCCTTCACATGACACCCGTTAAAAATGTCAGGTTAGGAGCTGGAGAGGTGAGTCAGCAGTTACGAGCATGTGCTGCCCCCCCACCACACACAGACACACACAGACACATACAGAGATGCCACAAACACACACAGAGACACACATACATACACAGAGACACCACAAACACAGACACACCACACACATACACACTACTCACTCACACACACACTAAAATAGTCTTTTAGAAAGTTAGAGCACCTGAGCAAAACTGCTGTGTTCACTTCACCTGTGTTCTCCGGACAAGTCACCAGTTTTTCTGATATGATCATTTCCTTTCTTTACATGATCTCTATAGGGAATAAAGCGAACGCCTGTGTCCTCAGTACCTAGAGCACGCCTGCCACATTATCGGTAAATATTTGCTCAGTAGCTGCTTGTGCAAAGGCAAGCGCGCCATGTTCCCACAGTTTACTCCTACACTGAGCGGACTGCAGAGTCTGTTTTCTCGCTGGCTCCACTGCTGCCTGCTCTCTGGGCCTCAGTTTCGTGTGCTGGATAGCACTTGTAAGCTTTATAACGGTACAATGAAGCTATGGAGAGACATTGCTAAGATCTGCCGTGTCCCTCCAAAATTCGTTTTAAGATTGAATCCCCTGTGAGTAGGCGTTAGGAGGTGGAGCCTCCGCGGTGAGGTCATGATGGCGGAAATGGAATTGCTGCACCCTGAGGAGGTGCAGGGAAGGATTTTCACCCGTCTGCCATATTGGGAGACGCTCAGAGCCAGGGCTCTGTGGTGATCTTGGCCTTTCCAGCTGCAGGAGCTGGGAGAAGCAGGTCTCTGCAGTGTAGCTGGCTGGGCTAAGCTACTTTGTCATGGTGGCCCACGTGCACTGAGACAGGCGTTTGTGGTGGTTGTCTGGCTCTTATCCTGTGTTTCAGCATCCTCTCGGTCCTGGCTTCCAGTGGACATTCTGCAGATCATAGCTTCCGCTTCCTCAGGTCAGAGCTCAAGTACGGAAGGAATTACCGTCTTCACAATGGCCGCCCTTCTCACCTATGAGTCTCCAGGGCTGCGGGGCTGTGAAGCACGTGACCTGGCATGGGACCCTGCAGCCCAGCGTACCATTGCGCATGCCTGAACTGCATGAGGGACCCCCTGCAGGCTCTGCCGGAGCAGGGGTGATGAAACCTGGCTGAAATTCGAGGTACATGCTCGTGTTCAGGGAGACAATTTTCTAAAGCAGTGGAGTAGCTGGAGTAACTTCAACCTGCTGGAGGGAGGAAATGACAGAGCTCCCTCCCAGCTCCTTGGTCGAAGGACACGTGACAAGACAAAGACGAGGCTCGACAAGATGTGAAGTTTATATACAAAGAATATAATGTTTATCTGAAATATTTACAGTGTTGGTTAAAGCAATATTTTTACAACTTTTCCAGGTCAGCTACTACGTATATTACAGGTAAGCTACAATGATTTAATTTGCAAGATTGGAAAAATGGAGTAAAAAAATGTTTTAAACAAAGGTTAAAATCCTCAGGTCAGTTTGCACTGCATTCACTGCCCTTTGCGTGAAGGCCTCGTGCAATGAGGACTGGCTACTGTGCCCCTCCAGACTGAAGTTCTGTAGCTGGGGCGGGGTGCTCCAAACAGTCGCAGTTACTGAGGAGCAATGCAATGGTTTAAGGCGCAGACTCTGGCTCTCAGGCTGGAGCCGAGGGAGACGTTGAGATAACGGCCAGCTTTATCTCAACCGAGTCTGGGACCCACACGTTTAGACCCCAGAGAAAAAAAAGAGTCTGCCTAAGTGGCAACCTTAGCGCACAGTATAAAGCAGCAGACTGACCAAAGAGGGAAATGCCCCTCAGGTCACAGCACTACCTACTCACAACTAACCTTAAAATGAGCTGTTGTAAAACTTCATTAAAATAGCCATGGTTTTATTAGTTTGAATATTTCTACAAGATCTGGAAGGACTCTGGCTTTCCGTGAAAACAGCTGTCCATTCCAGAGGCCTCCTAGGGCCTTTATAAAATTCAGGAAATGTTAGGGACACACACATGCAAGAGGCAGGGCAAGGCGCTCCAAGCTGCGGCTGGAGCTTTCGGGACTGTGCTTGGGAAACCGGAAGTGACGGCGCAGAGCGGAAGCGGTTCACGGAGCCCAGGGCCTGAGTAGCAAGAGGCTGCCGCGCTGGGAAACTAACACTGCAGCTTGCGGATGCTGCGTGAGATGCGCTTGAACTCTCTCTGGCCCTTCTGCCACCGCTTCACTGAGGTGATGACCAGCTCCCCGCCCTGCTTCTGTCCCATGACCAGATAGGGCGCGTTGATGTCGTTCATCTCGTCACAGGTGCACTGCAGGCTGTCTCTCAGCCACAGCACAGACTTCTTCAGGTCTCTTTCAGACACACCGTTAAGCTTGTAGATGGTCTTGCTCTTGGTCTCCAGGGTGATTTTGGTGTCTCTGTTGATGTAGGTTATCTCCTTCACTTTGATTTTCAGTGCTGTGAAGACAAGAGGGGCAGGAACGACAACAGAGCCCGAGTTATGACGAGGGGGAACTGTGCAGATGGTGAGCTTTGCTGCGCTTGGTCTGTAGGGGTTCCAGGGGAGAGGGAGAGGAGCTTCCTATCATCACACAGACTGTATGGGCTGGAGGTAGGGCCTGGGCCCTGGGGGCTGCATGTGCCTCTGTTTCTAAAGCCCTGAAGCTGGTGGGGCATTTTGTTTTCAGTCAGCCGCTTTTCAGAACCTCCGTGGAGGACCCAGTTAACCCTTCTCACACCATGCCCCTGTACTTCACATATGGTTCCTGCCACTCCCAGCAAAGGACTCTCCTGTTGGAGGAGAAGTGCCTAACTCTTAGGTGAAACATGAGCTTCCCTGGCTGCAAACGTTAAACCGGGTTTATTATGTCAGAGAGGTTTCCAGACAAACCTGTGAGGAAATGGTATCATGGTCACTGTTTTCTCAGGAACAGATTACAGGGAAAGGAGAATGGGTCTTGCAGCTGCTTTTGATTTGGTAAAGTAACAAGGAGGAAAAAAAAATGCAAGTCTCTTTTTTAAGAGCACAGCATGTTTATCCATAAAAGTGTTTTTCTGAAGACTTCATCCTCATGTGTTCTCATTTGCCTGGCCAAGGCCAAGGCAGTTACAGATCATGTATGTACTGTTTCCAGAATGTGTGTGGAGAGTCATTAGAACGTTAAGACCAAAAAGTAAGTTGTTTACTATAAAAGACACGTTTTATAGCCACGAACACTACACGTCAGGAAACACGCACACACACACCGGGATTAAATTTCAGGACTCCACACATGCAGGAAAGGGATGGGATTTTCGGGTTAGAAAGGGTCATCCCGTTAAAAGCTCATTAGGACACAGAGATGCAAATTGAGAGACGTGTGTGTGACTTGTGCCAGGCCACCCAGGTAGCCTTTGTCCCATCTTAGTCCCGGAACCTTGCCCTACGCTACCAGATCTCTAGAGGCAATGTGGAACTGCTGTCCTTGAAGAGCACTGAGTTTCTCAACCCCAGCCTGTCCTAAGACTCGTGGTGCCACAGACAGCTGAAATAGATGACATGCATGCACGGCTTCCCAACTTTGATGGGGTCTGATGCATTGTTTAAATTAGTAATAGTGGAGAATTCTGTGGGTGTGTCTTTGAGGTTTTCTTTTCCTTAAAAAAACAAAACAAAACAACAACAACCAAACAGGCAGGGAACTCAATGGAGCGGGCTTCCTGGCTAGAATGGAAATGATGGGTGCTTAACTGGGTCACGCATGGGCGCTGGGACTTGGTGAATGTCTGAGGTGGTATTCATCTGAACCACAGTCCCGACTCCTCAGAGATTACAGAATACAACATGTGGAAATGTCACAAGATTGTGACTTTAATGGGGGCTGAGATGCCACGTAGGGTTAACTGACCTGATTATACATTAGTGAGGAGTCTAGTCTCTGATACAGATGGGCAGGAGCAAGGCTCCACCTGGCCAGTCAAACATCCCTGCGCTTCACCACCTGAAGAATCATCACTGAGCTAGGAGGTGTGTTAACTGTGATCACCACTCTCTTTAGCTCTAAAATGTGTATCACGGGGGAAATGGCAGGGGTTCCTCCTTAGACTTGAAGCTGAGACAAAACATAGGGGATCAAGAACCCAAAATAACAGGCTTGCCCTGGAAGGAGTGACTGGGGGATTCAGGGTGTGGTAGGAGACACAGGTGACAGGTGACAGTCCCCGGCCCAGTGCCATGTTGTGTAGGGGGTTGGGGGAGGGCAGTTGGAGGCAACAGGCCCAGGCCCGGGTCTTATGTGCAGCCTGCGCTGTGGTGGAAAGGAAGGGCTCTGCATTCCGAGTCTTATGTGCAGCCTGCGCTGTGGTGGAAAGGAAGGGCTCTGCATTCCGAGGCTTATGTGTAGCCTGCGCTGTGGTGGTAAGGGGGATCTGCATTCCGAGGCTTATGTGTAGCCTGCACTGTGGTGGTAAGGGGGATCTGCATTTCTGTTTGGAGTGTGTATTGGAGTGGGGGTGCTGTGCCTGCCAGGATGATGCAAGGGAAGTAAGCGCCATCGCTGGGCCTGTTCTGTTTGCTACTCCCCAAAGAACAGAGGCCAAAGGGACTAGTCCTTCATCGTCCCTACCTTGGTCAAAAGGGTAGGGCGACAGAGAGCAAAACTGATGGCTGACTGCCCATCACACTCACACCACTTCTTTGGCTCAGTCCTTCACAAGGCACTTTTGAGAGAGTTTGCCTTCTGTTAGGTGAGCCACGAAAGCAAGCAAGTGTTGTGTGTGTGTCTCCCAAATGCATCTGCTTTAGAGTCCCATGAAAGCCAGGAGAGAATTCTCATGTGTAGTACAAAGAGCATAAGCTGCTGGAGAAAATGCTTTTTAGAATTGTCAGTTTTACTAAATAATTATCTGATATGTGGCAGCAAAGGACTGTGACTTGGTCAGACTCTGGAGACTGAAGATTACCCACTGCTAGCATGCCTGGCCCTGAGATGGCTTGAGGTCTGTTTGAAGACAGACATAGGGAACCTTATCGGCCCCACTGAGGCTCCTCCTACTTGGTAGAGTTGATTATTAGTTAGGACTTGGAGCTTTTCATTTGCCTTTATCCCTCCTCAGTAACGTCTAGTGCTTCCTGGGGTCAGGGCTACAGTTCAGGAACCACCAAGGTTCAACTCAGGTGACTTCCTGCAGAGATCTGAAGTGGATGAGCAGTGGCCAGGACTGTTGTCAGTGAGAGGTCAAGGTGGCAAGGGACAAGGGGCCAGCAGTGGCACCAGTTCCCTCAGTCCTAAGGATTGTTGACTGTGTGGCAATGTTAACGTGGCTCTGCTGGGTTCTGTGTTGTTTAGTAGACCAGTGGTCTTCTGGACTCACCAAGACTGAGGGGTACCAGCCTCTCTAATACAGCCAGCAACGGTACCAGCTGGGTGAGGCAGCAGTCTGGGCCGCTGGCCAGTCCTGATTCTGACTGTGCCTCTGCCCCTTGTCTAGCTGGTCTCCTCCCTTTGCCTGGGGGATATCAGACAGCGGTAGGTCCAGGTAGTGTTGGTAGATGGAGCCTCCGTCCTTCCTCTGATGATTTCCTAAGGGGAGGGCTTAACTGCCCTGCCTCTTGCGTTGTCTCACTCCATGCGCCCCAAGCACTACACTATTGAGACCTTTCTCACCTGACCTAACTTGGAAAACTTTTCTTCTTTTTGACCATTTGTAGAACCACGTCAAATGTGTCCCTGTGAGCTACAAATAGAGTGAAAACATTTTAATTTGATTCAAGTGCAGATGTTTATTTTGGGCCACTTTAAGAGCTTGAACCTGTTTTGCTGAGGGCGCTCACCAGTTCTTGGCACACAGGTCAAGCAATTTAAAAATGACACATGGCACGGGATCCTGTGTGTTGGCACAAAAATGTTGGAGATGAGAAGTTAGCTATTGTGCACTTGTGATTTGGGAAATTCCTATCTGATTATTGTTTAAGGAAACAGTAAATGCCATCCTCTGTAACTCAGTTCACAGTTACATATGAAGAGAACTAAGCTAGGGGTTAGGTGACTTTGGGGAACTGGCGATGTGACCATTTCTCACCCAGCCTCATCTGAGGACTTCTCACTGACTTACACTTTGTACGTTTCCTGGTAAATAAAGCTTGGATGGATGTGAAACCTGTTGGTCTTGGCAGTTACTTACCAAAATCATTTTTACAAAGAGTTTCCATTATGTCGTTGTCATCCTCGTTTTTAGTTTTGCAGGCTTCACACACCTTCGGGGCTGGAAATGTGAAAAGGTCTTTAGTGAGTTTGCTGAAGCAGGAACAGCAGGTGGCGTCTGTAAACAACCCTGAGGGACCCAGCCAGGCCAGATCAGCCATTGTCCTGTGTGACCCCCTATTTCTGCCTCCTCTGTACAAAGAGGACTCCTCATTTCCAAATGCTGCACTTTCCATTCTTGGTCTGGTGAAAAGCGAATGCCTGAATGTCCTCTGTTGTCAGCACCCACCCTCAAATGTAGAGGGGTTGTGGGCAGTGGGTAGGCCTGCTTGCAGGATAACCCAACGACGTTGCCGCTTTTCAATGCATCCTCCTCACTCCTAGGATGAATTCAGTCATCCGCAAGTCTCTAAGGGGAAACGGCCCAAAGATCCAAGCCCTGGAGGGAGCCTGGAGTATGTTAACCATAAAATACAGTGGAAAGATGGCTCTCATCTGCAGGACCTGGAGGAGCCCCTTTGGTGTAGCTAGACTCTGGGCTGGAAAGGAGGGCCAGTGCTGTGCTGTGAGGAACCTATCCGGCTGGCCTCTACCCTGGAAGCACCTCTCAGTAACTCCGACAGCTCCATCTAGCTGGTTCTCCACCTCCTGCCTCCTGACAAGTTTACTTTTCACTACTCCCCTTCTGCTCCCTGGTACAGGTGCGTGTTTCTGTCCTTGCAAGCACAGAAGCCTGGAGACAAGGTGATGCAGGTGAAGAAAAACTTGCTGTGGGGTGTGCCTGAGCAGACTAAGGACTTTTCTGTGCATGCACAGCTATCAGTCTGTCTAAGGCTGTCCTATAAGAGCACAGTTGCGCCAAGAAGACATTTTTCTTTCTCTAATTTATAAATATGCCCAAATGCTGTCTTTAAAATTCATGTGCAATTTTATAGGTTTCCACTAGTATGAAATAGAATTTTCACAGAAAAAAAAGCCCTTATAACTCATACTAGAAGTTATGATTTTTGAAAATACCAAAGAGCAAAATTTGCAGGCATACAGGCATATATTGAAGAAGGAAATTAATTTTGGAGGAATACCCGGTATATATTTCGGTTGATAGTAGAAAGGAAAACAAAAGCAACCCCCAAAACCTCAGCAATCCCCAACCAGAAACACGTCCAACTGGGAGGCTCAGGGTCTGTGTGAAATGCTACCAACCTGTATTGCTTACTCCATGGTATATGTCAGACAAATGTCTGAAAAACGCCAAACATTTGCAATGAATTAGAAACCTAACCAATAAGATGATTGCAGACTCATGGTGCCTGCCAGGAAAGATTGCTAAACAACTTTGTCTTTTCTTTAACTAATGATGTCTGCAGGAAAACAATTAGAGATCGAAAGGGAGAAGCCGCTCAGACCCTGAGTGGGATTAGGAAGCCGGCTTTCTATCTCAGGGGGCTCAGACACATTGGATCCTTTTTCCTTTTCAGGAAAAATCTCAAGAGCCCATGAGGTTTTCATTGCTTTGATGGTTTTTGCCTGTGAACTCCCTCTGTTTTCTCAAAAAACTCGAGGGAACTCTTTTGCATGATTTTCTCCAGTTAATTAAAACCACGCCTAAGATAAAAGCTGATAGTGATAGAAAGATGGTTCCTGGCGACTGCCTCATCTCTCCCTCAAACACCTGGGCACTGAAAACCGAAACTCAGTGTTCCGCTTGCTCGCAGGCAGTCTTCCTTACTTCTCCAAAACCTACATTGGCAAAGGACAAAAAGCTCGGAAGGTGATCATTGTGTTTTTGCCCAATGGGACAAGAACATGCAGAGAGAGGCTGAGCAGAAGAAGCCTCTGGCCCGGGTGTTTGTCACTAGGACCTGACCATGCTAAACACTTTCCCAGGCGGGACGGCGGGGAGGCACAGAACAAGCCTCCTGAAACAAGAATTGCCACTTTTGTTTGGCTTTCCCAACTCCCCAAGGGGAGCTGTTACAACCAGGGAGGGATCTTGGCGCAGGGGTGGGAGATCTCAAAATCGGTACTCCGTAAGGCAACAGACTAGGGTAGGGAGCGCTTCCGCCACATCCAAGGTTGGAACCCCAAGTTGGGAGAACTAGGAAGTGGAGTGAAGGCTTCGGGGTCCCCGTCCCCCTCCGCAGGCCCCAGTCCTAGCAGCTCGTCCGGGGTGGGTGGGACGAGGAGGGAAGGCTTACCTTCCTCTGTGGCCGGCAGGAGGTGGTCGCTGCTAGCGAGGGGGATGCAGAGGTCGTTGTCCTGTGGGAAACGGTCGCACTCCAGCATGTCCGGCCAGGGGAAGCCGAAGGCGGACATGACCGGGGCGCAGCGGTCCTTCACCTGCACGCAGAGCGAGTGGCACGGCTGGATGGTCTCGTCCAGGTCGTCCAGGCAGACGGGGGCGAAGAGCGAGCACAGGAACTTCTTGGTGTCCGGATGGCACTGCTTCATGACCAGCGGAATCCAGGCGCCCGCCTGCTCCAGCACCTCCTTCATGGTCTCGTGGCCCAGCAGGTTGGGCAGCCGCATGTTCTGGTACTCGATGCCGTGGCACAGCTGCAGGTTGGCCGGGATGGGCTTGCAGTTGCTGCGCTTGTAGGAGAAGTCGGGCTGGCCGAAGAGGAAGAGGCCACGCGCCGAGCCCAGGCAGCAGTGCGAGGCGAGCAGCAGCAGCAGCAGCGAGGCAGGGCCCCGCGGCATCGTGGAGCGGCGACCCCCGGGGGGCGGAGAAGCCGAGCCGGGGAAGCGAGGCGGCCGGAGCCCGGGCTGGTCCTGGACCCGCTCGCCCTGCTCGTGGGCTGGAAAGCCGGCGGCACGAGCGCGCGAAGCCCGGCGCGGGGAAGTTGGCGCGGGCGAGGCACGGCAGGCCCGCGCGCAGCTCCGGGGGGCTCCGACCCGGGGGAGCAGAGTGAGCGCAGGCTGGGGCCCAGCCAGAGTTTTCTTGGCCTTTTTTATGCAAATCTGGAGGTGGAGGGGGTGGGGGAGCAAGGGAGGAGCCAGCCCCGAGAAATCCGAGCAGGCAGGTCGCTGCTTTCCCGGGCTGCGTGCGCGCAGAGAATGCCTCTCAGCGCCGGCTGGCAGGAAATTTGGGCTGCGCCCCCCCACCCCGACTGCAGCGCCGCGCGCTCTGGCGACTGCCTTGCCAGCCGGCCAGCGAGGCCACCGTGTCCCGCTGCGCGCGAGCGGAGAGCGAGGCTGAGGCACGCGTGGGGCCCGGCCAGCGAGTCTGGGCTGCAGCCTTTCACGCCCCGCGTGGCCCGCCTCCGTTTTGATGAGCTGCAGCCTTTATCACTCAGCACCGCGTCCCCGGGCGGCCACGAGCCCGCAGTGCTGGGCTCTTTGTGCCTCCGGCCTCCGGCCCAGTCCGGCTTGCTCGAGGAACTTCATTTCCAGCCCAAGTGGAGCAGGCTGGCTCCTGCCGTTTGTTTCCACGGCCCTTCGACGCATTCTGAATCACAAAACGGATAGCAACGATACACTGAGTTTCTGTTTCGCTGGGCTCTCTATAGGATTTTCTCAGACTAGAGGACTGCAGACTCACAGGAGTTTGCCCGCCATTTCTCCTTTTGGAGAAGAGACTTTGACCTCTGAAGGGATGTCCAGACTTGAAGGCAGCCCTGGTTGTACATAAGGGGTCAGGATAGGCCACCAAAGCAATACATGGGACTTATGAGTGCCAAGGTCAGACGCCGACAGGTTGGGAAGGAACAGTCAGAGATTCCTAGCTAGTCAGGTCCTCAGGATGGTTGGCTCATCCATTCTGTAACAACCAGGGTCACCATCCTGGTGACCAGCCATGCGACGTGAACCCACAGGGCCAGGCTCTGCTCTGATTGGCGAAGGTAGGGCGGAAGCGCTGCAAACAGTCAGCGGATGGAGGATAACTAAGCAAGGTGAACAACTGAATAACCGAGAAAGGTGCAGGCCAGGGGCCAGGGGAAGCGAGCAGTGAGGGGCGGTGTGAGCGCATGCGGGGTATGCGCGAGTGTGAGGCGGTCCTTTCCCCAAACCACCCCTTTGCTAAAGGTTTAGCCTCCCTTTCAGGGCGACCTTTCAGGGCCTGGGTAGTGACACCCACTCCCCCGAAGCCGCCCTCTTTCATATGTAAGCTGGGCACATTGTTACCGCTTCCTGATCCCCGCTGCCCGTTTTCGGGATGGCACACTGAGGGCGCAGCGCCCAGCACTTTTCGTGGTCCTGCAGAGACTAAGGACTGACAGAATGCCATTTCCTACCCCCTTCTGGCCGTGGACAAAGCAGGTAAACGTCGGAAGGGAGTGTGCCATCGAGTCTCTGGAGGTCCAGCTTCCGTTTTTTTCCTGTTGGGCGGAAGCTGTTCCATCCAGTTGGCTCTGGGCCTTCCAGTGTCTAACTGAGGCAGCCAGGGCTTAGAAACCCTTCTCCCCAGATACAAGCGCCAGTTTGAAAACAAGCCGCATAAACACAAAAAGGTTAAACAGCGACGGAGAGCCTGGACGCTGAACGCTAGGACTTGGACCCTGGGGTGGATTAGGACTCCCTAGTGTTCACTGTTTGTAGCCCCAAAGCATTCCCATGGGGTCACCTCTCCCCTGCAGGCCCCGTGGGTGGGCGCTCGAGAGCCCAAAGTCGGTCCTAGTTTGATCACTCGCTTTTGTGTTCCCGAGAGCGCCAGGCCGCCCCTGCGCCTCGCGCGCTGCCGCGGGCCGGGGCATTGTCTGGGGCGCCCACGCCAGCCCGCTCGCCGCCAGGGGGCGCCCGAAGTCTCGGGAATCTTCGGCGACGCCCGGCGCGAGGTGGACCTCCCGCCCCGGGCCGGGCCGGCGGCAGCCCAGGAAGCTGGCAGTCGCAGACCTTTCCGACGCCGTGCCACTGGCCTGGGCCCACCCGGCTCCAGTCACGCACCCTCCTTTCGCCCAAGACCCGCCAAGTGCATGCGTGTGTGGCGGGCGCGCCCGCGAGGCCAGCCCGCTGCCGGCGAGCAGGGCAGGAGCCCCCGCAGAGGTTGGACCACTGGCTCTGTGTAAATCGCGGCCCAGGGACACTGGGTGACCGTGCCCGCGAGAGTTCCTGTGTGAGTGCACGTAGCTCGGAGGACGGACCCCGGGAAGCACGCGCTCGGCGTGCCTGGGTAGCCCGGGCTCCCCCGTGCTTCTGGAGGCGCCTGGTCCACAGCTTCCCCTTCCCTCCTCGCCATTTAGCCAGAGCAGCAGGCTTTTGCCGCGGGGAGGCCGTGCGGAGTCTCTTCTGCTTACTTCCAAGAGGGGAAGCTCGTCTCGCTCTCACCTCGTTAGAAAACAACGAGGATCCTGGGATTCGCAGCGCCGGCCGCGGGGTTCTCGTTAGAGGGGCTGATGGGTCCCTCCCGCCAGTCCCTCGAACGCGGCTGGCCTGGAGAAGCGCCCCGGCAACTCCTGCCTTTGGCCCTCCGCTTGGTAGTTTCTCCCTCTCGGGAGAACCTCGAGGGACAAAGAAGGCCTCCCCAGCCCCTCGCAGCTCGGTTAAACTCTGATTGCTGGATTTCTGGAGGGGCAAGACCTTGGCGTCACGCTCAGATGCTTGGGGCATCTCCGGGCTCTGGAGCTTGTCAAGCCCAGGTGGGCCCAGCGTCCGCGAAGGTCTCTGGTGCTCGGAGAGCGAGCTTCCTCCCGCACCCTGGAACCGAGTCCTGAGGGCGTACAGAGCCCCGCGAAGGGCCGAGGGCAGGACAGCCGCACAGCACGCGAACGCTGCTTCCTCACCGCAGCTCCGGCGCCCCGCGCCCCGCGCCCCGCAGGCCTGGAAGGGAAACTAGTTTCTAATCCCCCCGCAGTGTTCTCATCACCGGCCGCCTGCCCTCACCGCCCTGCAGCAAGTGGCCATGCTCATTACCCTCCGCCGTTTGTGTATGGGGCTTGGGCCACAGCATGCCTGTGGAGGTCAGAGGACAACTTTAGGGGGTCAGTTCTCTTCTTGCATCCTGTGGAGCCCGGAGGGAGATAAAGCTCAGATAGGCAGGCTTGGTGGCAAGCAAACTTTCCTGTTGAGCAGTTTCTCTGGTCCCTTGATTATTACTCTTTTGGATTTTCAAAATCATAAGGAAGTTGAGGGGTTAAGCAATGAACCATGTCACACAGTGATACGGTTGCCTGCTAATTCAGAGTCCTGTCCTTTTGGTTGTCTCCCGAAGTGCTGTTACCTGGCCTTTATCCACAGGCTAGGCTTTGCAGGGTGAGCGCGTTTTCCCCATTGTATCGAGTCTTTCAGGCTCCAGAATTCGCTGCAGCCATCTGGGGGTGCCATTTCCCAAACCAGAGAGTGTCTCTGGTACGGCGAGTGTTGCTTCCCTGCAGCTGTGGAAACTTTGAGATCGTTTGCATTCTTGCTCACGAGGGTGGCTTTTGGTGCTCAGAGAAACAGCGACTTCATTTCGGACTCCTCTTGGTTCGGTCACCAGCGGGTCCTCACTCCAGGGGACGCTTCCCGCGCAGGCGCAGGGAGGACAGGTGCCAGCACCCAGAGGTGCTTCTCAGCCTAGGAATTCCGAGCACAGCGCCTGCTGTCAGGTGCTTTGGATTTTCATTGAAAGCATTGGCTAGAATGAGAGCGAAGACTATGCTGAAGACTACGCAGGACTTTTGCGCATACTGCCTCAAGATGTCAAGGGCCTCAGCGCCAACCTGGAAAAACCAGCCAAGGGACCAGACCAGGAAACTGGCTGCCACGCAGAGGCCTACACCGGTGGGATTAGGCTCAGCATTCAGTGCTTGCCACAGAGACTTGGGCAGCAGTCAGGGGTGTGTGAGGAGATGATCCCCTAGGGACAAAGCCGAGCTGTCCCATTCCTGGCTTGATGGCCACCTCACCACCAGAAGGAACAATGATTGCAGTGGGCCATGTGGTTGGCAGATTCCAACCACCTGTGGATGCCTACACTCTCTCTGTCCCAAGTACAGCGAGCTTGCTCATCGACAAAGGCCAGGGAGTCAATGAATGGATGCTTTGGAAGCTCCGTAATAAGCAGCTAATGAGGTAGAGACCACTTGGTGGTTGAGGGCCCTTGCTGCTGTTGCGGAGCTGTTGCCAGCATCCACATGAAGAGGGACTCACAACCCCCTGTGACTCCAGTTCTAGGACATGCTATGGCCTCTGCCCCCCACCTGTACTGGTGCTCACATGGTGCATATACATACATTCAAATACATTCAAGCCAACACAATGACCCATAAAATAAAATAGATACATAAACGACTTAAAGAAGCGGGATGCCCTGAGGCTCACAGTGCTAGTCCTGGGGAGACTGAGGCAGGAGGATTGTCACAAGCTTCAGGCAATCTTTGGCTACACACTGGTTTCCAGGCTTGCCTGGACTTCATAGATAAATCCCTTTTCAAAAATAAAAACAGCGCTAGGGCGCAGCTTCTCTCAGTAAAAGCCACTCACTCACGTTCTCTCACAGCCACGGTAGTGTGCAGTGGCCGCAGGGCTTTTCCTTGCTCACAGGAAAGTCTGTCAGCAGCAGACTGGAGATGGATGAGAGAATTGTTCTAGAGAAGGCTTCTCTGGGGGCATGAGGTCCCATCAGGAAAGCTGTTTGTGGCTGGTGTCTTGGAGGGTCCAGTTTTTATTCCATCTGTTCTTTCAAGGAGAGAAATGGCCCTAGAAATCTTGGAAGAAAGAGCAGAGTGTGTCTTGGCCTTCCTGGGCTGCTTCTGCTTGAAAAAATCCAAGCCAAATAAACAAACAG